GCACTGAATATTTCAATTTTAATTCTCTGTACATCTCAAAGAACCACTGGCATCCTACATTCCCTACCAAGTACTACTGAACTATTGAGAATGAAAGATTTAGAAAACCATAGGACTAAACTTAGCAAAAACAACAAGTTATGTAGAAAAGTAAAACTTCAGTTCAGTGTTCTTCTTTATGAAAGTATGTTTTGTATTTTTTCTTTGCAAGAATGTGATGAGTTTTTGCAAGTAAAATTCTGTTTCCTCTATACTTGCTAATAGTCATGAGAATCTGTAGTTTGCACCTTCCCATTAAAAATGTATTGTATTTTTTGAAATTATTCACCCCGCCTTTTATCCAGATCATGTCTTTGAAAGGAGGAAGTAGATAATAAATGGAATTATTCATGATTTCCCATTAAATATGAAACTTTCTTTTGCAGAGTTTAGAAAATGGAACTTCTACATAATGTACAGAAGTTGATTAGAACTTTTTAACCTTTTCGAGAAAGTCTTCCATGTTAAACAAATGTGCAGAATAGTTTTTACAGATGGTAAACTATTTGGTTCCCATACACTCATATTTTTTGTCTTTCTTTAATTACACTGATATGCATATCAGACTAGGCCGAAGTACAGAGAGCACACTAATTTGAATAAAGAGACACTGTCTCCTCCTGTTCTCTTTCGAAGAGAATTTATCACTGGGAGACTATGTTGCTTCATAAAAACACAGAATTTTGGTTACAACAAGCAAGATGATTAGGAATTATTTAAACGGAAAAAGAATACATATTTAAATAATATTAAAGCTGTAGAAGCATTAGGAAAGAAAAATCAAACTGTCTTACAGTACAGTCTACAACTTGTGTAACTTTTCTCCTGGATAACATAACATTAGCAGGAAGTTTAATTGTGTATGTCTTCTGTTAGGAAAGGCAATACCTTATAGATTAAGAGATGCAAATTGTGCTGCAGGAGCTGCTAGCGCATTGCAGTAAATAGGGTGTCAGAGTGGGACTCAAATGACTTGGATTCAAATCCTTGCGCAGCCATAGAAAGTCACTGGGTGGTGGCACAGCTAAATTCACTCCTTAAAAACCTCACATGAATTGAAAACCCTAAGAGGGTGACTGTAAGTTGGATGCAACTTGATGGCACATAATAAATAAACTGAAAAGAAACCCATTACTCCTGTGGATCTTTATCTACCCAAATGATATCATTCAGGTACATGAGCAAGATTGGTAGAATGTTTGCAGCACAAAATCTTGGGGGGGGGGGAACTAAAGGATAACTCCAAATTCATCTACTGGAGGATGTTGAACGGACACAGAGTACTGATTCCTCAGTGGGAGGCAAGAATGTTAAAGGGGGAAGGAAAACATGAGTGACTAATCCTGGAATGACAAGCTGGCTGCCACACTGAACAAGATCCTTCCATGCTACAATATTTTTAAAAAGTCATGCTTGCTTTTATTATAAACCACATTGAAATTATGTTGCTAAGCATAATAAGAGGCAGCTAGAGTAGGCCCACTGAATGAGTGGGGATTTGGTGAATCAATTCCATACCTTCCACTGATTCACTAGGACTGCCCTACCCTACACTAAGCAAGGACACCAGACAATCATTTCTATAGGGCTTACTCCTTAGTAAATATATTTTGGACTGCAGACATAACGCTGCACCACTACTAAATGGAAAGAAATGGAAGGTGTGGAAAAGAGGCAGGAATGAATTGGTTCGAGGGGGTAAGGGAATTCTGAGGAATTTCGCAATGCTTTCTATAGATAGGAAAGGTGTTATGTATAATGTGCCATGAGGTCAGAATCAACTGAGAAACCCGAACAGGGGTTGTTCCATGCGTAAAAATGGTTTTATCAGTGCCACCCCTGTAGAGTTTCCATGGCTAAGCAGGAATTTGAACCCAGATCTCCAGAGACATAGTTTATCTCTAACCACACTGGGTATTCTTCTTCGGGGTGAGGAGTAATTCCCATTAAATTAAATGAGACTGAATTATTGATCTAACTACATACAATTGCATGGTAAACGCTTCAATAAAGAGGCAAGTCTCAAGTTTGCTTGTGTAGGAAGTAGACAATATGTGCACAATACGCACACTCCATACATAAAAGGCATGGATCAACTAACCCTTTTAACACACACACACACAACACACACACAAACAAACAGAATCAAAATCAAACCAAAAAACTAAAACAACAACAACAACAAACAATTAGCTTTCAGTGTGAGCTTTCATGGACTTACCCATGTCTTAAGATATCAGAAGTGCATGTAGCCATGAAAGTTCACCCTGAAATACCAGTCCTTAAGTACACTTCTTTTTCTTTTACTTTTGCTGAATATGCCTACGCAGATTAACAGAGCTACTTCTACATACACACAGTCTCCTTCATTTCTTGGCAAGAGTTTTGTTTGGCAAATTCAGAAAATTCTCAACATAGGTTGAAGTCTTAAGTACTATACAGCCATTGCTTCTAATCTTAAGGATTAAGAATCCCCTTGCTAACCCAAGTGTAGTTTCCCCTCTTATCCCACAGGTGGTTGGTTTATGGAAAAGAAAATTAATAGACTGGTATCCCATTGCATAAAAAAATGGGAAAAATTCTGAAAACTTCTGAATTTAATTATTCATTTTCAAACAGGTTTTATTTCAGAACATAACATCACTACAATAGGAAGCTATAATATCGTACATACCTATTACTGTTATGTGCCATCAAGTTTCTTCTGATGTATTGTAACCCATTCTTAACTTTCGATAGAGTACTCAGAAGTGGTTTACCATTCATGTCTGAGGTACCCTGGAACTTGTATAGAAACACAGTGGGGAAGCCATCTCCCAACCCCTGACTCCATATGCTTATCTGGCAGTAAATTCATTGATGCAATGGACCTTGCTTCTTTGTAACCATATACATTGCTATCATTCATTTAACACAATGCAGTCGTTTAACACAATGCAAAGGGACAATGCAGTCCCTTCTAGAAAGGCTATTCCAACATCAGCACATAGTTCTCCATTATATTTTCCCAAAATTATATATAATATCTCATGGACACAATCCACATAATATAGAATCCCTTAAGTTACATCACAGTTTATTAACGATAACTATATAACTATATAATATTATATAA